GAATAGAAATGGGATCAGGGAATTCTTCTGCTTGTTCCATAATGGTGGATATGGAATAAGGCAGGTGTTGGGTGTGTGTGGTAAGAGTAAAGGCAGGTAAGAGTAGAGGTGGAGTGGTGAAGCAGAGGTTGTCACTTGGAGACTTGGTCTTCTGTTAGGGCAACACAGGCTGACTAAGTCTGCTCACCTAAGAGTGCCAAGAGTCTAAGCAGGCAACAAGGAAGTGGAGTAGACCTGATGACTAAGACCTATCTACAGTATAGGTACCTGTGGATGATCCTAAGAGACCAAGTCTGAAGAGACAGTCCCAGGCAGAGTAGGCCTTATATTTATACCTCTGTGGTGGAACCTGCTAGAACATCTTGCTTACTCAGCCTAGTCAGGTGATCAGGTCATATGACCAAGGATGAGGTCATATGAGGTCATGCACAGCCATGCACAGCAGGTCACCTGACCATCCAATCCTTCCAGCAGGTTCCAGCACATGCCAAGGTATACCAGCTACTTCCATGTCATAAAGGCTTAGTCATGTCTCTTGACCAAGCAATGAGCTGGTGCCCTGACAAGCAGCCATGGGTCTCACAAACACCAAAGACCGCAGCAGAGACTGCCTCCCAAGCAACACTCATCAAGAACAGGATTGCCCAGCATCAGGGGAGCTCACCTACCTCAATCTATGCATCGATTAACCAGCTTGCAAAGCATGCCATTGAGCAAGACCATTGCATGACACTCTTGACCGGACAAGTGCAGCTTCTTGAAGAGACAGTTGACCACCTTTCCAGATGTCACAGGATCAAGAATGTCTGTCTCCAGGACTCTGGAGTACTTACTGGTGCACAAGCCAATGAGCTCTTGGCAGAGCAACATGTTGGTGAGCTGGATGGGCAGGATCAAGGCAGAGGGGAGGCTTGGTTAAATCAAGCAAATCTGGGTGCACAATGCTGTAGACTCTGCAGATTGCCTGGACACAACTCCAGGACATGCCCTGGTGCAGAACAAGTAGATAATGTACAGCAGTCTGATTAATGAGATGTTGCTTGAATGGTGAGATATTGTACATCCATCACAGAGGGTCCACAAACCTGACCTGTTCACTGCCCTGACCTGCTCACTGCTAAACTACGTTAGTGGGTGTGGTGTGTGTGCTAATAATCAAAGATTGGGGTTTTGAGGGATGTGTGAAGATCAGCTCAAGGAAAAGTGGTTTTTGCTGCCATCCTTTTATACCCAACCAGGCTGATATCTTCATGGAACAGCTTATCATGTGCTGGTGAGTAAGTGGTATCTATATGTATACAATGCTATTGAATGGTCTTTTGAATGCAGTGTCAATGAATTGCCTCGGCAAGTTTTGTCTTTCATTCAAGAAAGAAGTAATTTGCCCTTGACACCGACTAGGTTTTGAATAGATGCTGTCTATGAGGCAATGCACACATAGAACTTGAGACAATTCAGCACTGGCATATGTCAACAGTGGTGTCTGAGGATAACACAGCATAAATATCATTTGTATCTTTGATTTGTTGCTTGTCCACTGGCAGTGCATCATCCCATCCAAGTCCTCACCAACCCAAGAGTGCCCACCCTGCCAAGGCCGCGCCCAGAGCAGGCCACATCGCCCGAACAGAATTCAGAATCGTCCAAGCAGCGAACAACCTCCTCACTTCCTGCTGCGCGCTCTTCTCCGCCTTCTCCCCCTGCACCTCCGACTCCTTTCATCGCCGCATATGCCTGCAGCCTCGTGTTCATCGGGAGCATCGTTCCCAGTGTCCAGGGGATGATGCCTA